AGTAAATGTGATGAAGTATGAATAACCACCTCGTGCAGTTGTGTTGAAAGGCCTGCACACATCACTATGAATGAGTGCCAGAAGATCACCAGCTCTTTCACCGTGTCCGGTGAAAGGAGATTTGGTCATCTTACCCAATAAACAAGATTCGCATGTGTCATATGATTCAAGATCAAATGACTCCAGTATTCCCGACTGTTGTAGCTTGGATATGCGTTTCTCGTTTATATGGCCTAACCTACAATGCCATAGGTATGTTTGGTTCAAACCGTTCGGTTTGTTCCTCTTGGCTGATATGTTATAGACAGGCATGTCCAAGTCAAGGACATATAACCCATTGGTCATGTTGGCATTAGCATAGAAAACATTCTTTCTGTAAACGGAAAGGGACTTGTCTTTAATAGAAATGATGAAACCACTCTTATCAAGACATGAAACAGAAATAATGTTTCTGCTAATTGCAGGAACGTACAAGCAATCGTTTAATTCCAACATTAGACCACTAGGCAAGACTAAACTATAAGTTCCGATTGCCAAAGCTGCAACAGGTGCACCATTGCCGACTCAGTGATCAATCTCGCCTCGAGCTAACCGTCTACTCTGCTTCAGTCCCTGCATGGTAGTACATATATGAGACCCACATCCAGTATCTAGTACCCATGATGAAGATATAGACATGTTAACTTCTATAACATACACCTCAGAAGAAATGGTCGTACCTTCCTTCTTCTTGGTTGCGAGGTATGTCTTGCAGTTTCTTCTCCAGTGGCCTGCCTTAACACAGTGATGACATTTGCCCTTTGCAACTCCTCCTACGGGTTTCTGGGTTGCAGATGAATTGGACTTTGATTTAGGCTTTCCGACCGTCCTAGGTGGCGTCTCATATACGTCTTGTCGTATTCAACCTTCTTTCTTCAGTTATTGGAAGTATATCAAGATACGTTTATGATAGTGACAGGTTTGATCACAACACTATGGTTGATTTCATTTCGAGCAAGGAAGAGATTATCTTCGGTATATGATTCAATTTCACGAATTCATAGAGTAAGGAATCTTAATAGTTCTTACACCAACATCGCATATAGGTTCGAGATTTTCGTTTGAATGATTCAATTCACTTCTCTCAACTTCATTATTCTTCTGGTTGTTGCACATACCTTTTTTCTCTAAGGTCCGAACAGAGTTTGTTTGGTCAATAAGATCATCGATAATAATCTCCAGAGATAATGTAATTACATCAATAGTTTTGTGGTTCACAAATAGAGGTTCAACATAATATTCTAGTCAAAGTGCTTTCACCATTGTGATTAAGTCACGTAGTTCACAGAGTAGTTTTCGATGATCGACATCACGGTATCACAGAGTGTCGTTTTGGTTTTAATGAAGAATCATGGTTTTAGTATTTTGATACAAAAGATGGAATTCAATTATTTCAAGATTGATCAAGTGAAATATTTCAAGGGTGTAGTTAACACATCAAGTTTGAGTATCTCAAGGATATGAATCACAAGATACAAAGATAGTGTTTGTGACTTATCGTTGCTAATCATAGATTTTCTTTATTCCATGTTTCACTCTTTGGAAGTTACTCAAGGAGTCATTGTCTTAGGAAATAGTCGTTTTGACTTTTCGTCTCGGATTTGATCGTATTTCAGGACAGCGAACCTAACTATTCATTGGTCTGAACATATCACATTGTCAGCAGACTACAGTATTGATGAGTACAATTTTGTGTGTAGATAGTTGAAGCAAATTCACTTTTCTTTACGTATTTTGGCTGGTGATAATTACTTTTCCACCAATGGTCAGGTTTTAGAGACTATATATCACGATTATGGGAAGAGTATCTCACATTCTCACATTATGGAAGGAACTTCTCGGACATTTCCTTACACCATAAGATTCGTTGGTCTACTTGGCAGTCATTCTCTTGGTAGAAATCCAAAGTTTATGGCTACTGCGGTAGATTTAGGAAGAGAATTGATAAGGCGAAGAATTAGTCTTGCTGATGGAGGAGCCAACGTTGGCTTACAAGGAGCTGTTGCTTCAACAGTCTTTACAAATGGTGGTCTCATTAGAGGTTTCATTCCTGGGTACATAGCAACACGACGGGTCTACGGACCTACATATGGCATAGAGCACACAGTTTCCAACAATTACTACAAATATTTTGAGATGAATCATGTCGTGGAAGCTTTCATCCACTACGCCAAAAACAGTGTCAGGCGACTGTTGATTAACTACTGTTTATGGAAAAACAGTAGTTAAAAAAATCAGACTACTGTTTGTTGTTGTTGGCTACAAAAGTAGTAGTCTAGCTATTATGCTTAAAACTATTTTTAAAGTTTTGAGAAACAATATTCTATTATTAGTTGTCTGTGTCATATCAAAATACAGTTTTTGTTATCACAGTTGTCAATAATAAGTTCAGAATACTCTTTTCAAACAGTAGTATAGTTATTCCATCTAGAACTGTTTTTAAAGTTATGAGAAACAATAATCTATTGGTAGTTGTCTATGTCATATAGTATTTTTGGCACTGTTGTTTAAAATAAGAATACACTACTCTTTTTTAACAATAGTCTAGATACTTAGCCAACATCTGTTTTTAAAGTTCATAGAAACGATAATCTATTAGTAGTTGTTTGTGTCATATCAAAATACAGTTTTTGTTGCCACAGTTGTCTATAATAAATTAAGAATACTAATTTTAAACAATAGTCAGGCTATAAAGCCTAGAACTATTTTTAAAGTTATGAGAAACGGTAATGTATTACTAGTAGTCTGTGTCACACGGGTTTTTTTCAGAGTTGTCTAGAATAAGTTAAGAAAACTCTTTTTAAGAGTAGTGTGGATAGTAAGCGTAGAACTGTTTTTAAAATTATGAGAAATAGTAATCTATTACTAATTGTCTGTGTCATGTGATTGTTTTGCTAGAGTTTTTTATAATAAGTTAAGAATACTCTTTTTAAACACTAGTTTAGCTATTAAGTCTCAAACTTTTTTAAAGTTCAAATAAACGATAACCTTCACTACAATGAATATGTGTACGCTATCTAACGTTGCTTTCGTAACTTTGGACGAAACTTTACACAACAATCAAATAACCACTATTTAAAACAATTATCATTTTAAAAAATAAACACTTTTATTGAAAGAAAATAAAAAGTACATGGACAGGCTGTGTAGTGTCCCGCTACACACAAAGGGTATTGGGAACCCATACAATCAATCAACCTCACTCATAAAAGCAAAAAAAACAAAAAGAAGATGGCAAAATCCAAATAGAACGTAGGACCCACAGTGAATGTAAAATGGTGGCCCGAGGAACTTAACATGAAGGGTCCATTGTATCTATCGCACACAAGCTTTGGCTCGCCATTACTGTCTGAAACAAGGCCTTGCACTAGAGGGGGTCTTGTTCTTCGAGTTGACATCTTAGACTTCTTTTCTAAAGATGCTTTCTGAATCTGTTGGGTGTAGGGCTAAAGAAAGAGGGACAAAATAATCAGCACTATATATAGATGTTAAGGTTATCCGCTGGCATGCCAAAGGGCCAAGGCCCGAGTGCTAGAAGTTGTCACATTGTCCTGAAAGCCTTCATTCATTGCTTCCCTCGGTTTGAGTTCAGACACAACAAGTGGATAGGTAGGAAACCCAAAACCAGCAGCTTCCTGGCAGTGTTCCTAGCAGTGCTTTCGGCCAGGTACAGCAGCAACACCAGCAGCAAATTGGTGCAAACCAGCAGCAAACCAGTGCCCCATAGTTCAGTTTCAGCTTCCAGTCCAATCATTTCCCCAAAACACAGTCCATGACCTCTCATCTAAGGTATTTGACTCCCAAGTGCACCTCCAAGTACCATCCAGTAGACCACCTTCAAGTACCAGCCAATCAATGCCAAAGAGCCACACAGGATCCGGCAATCTGTCTAGAGTAGTCCCGGCAGTGGCCAAACAGCCTCCAAAAACTAGTGGCACCCCTGACCAAAAGCTAAAGGAAGAGCCCAAACGCTGCCCAAACCACACTCCATTTCCTCTCCCTAAAATGTACTCAGCAAGAAGTGCCAATAAGTGGTCCAAGCAACCGCCGTACAAATAAACAATCAAAACAAGTACAAGACGTATCAAAATGGTCAAACATAACAAAGTGGTAATCCACGTCCGGGCTCCAGTGTCAGCTTCCAGTACCCCGCATCACCAGGCAGCAGTATGGTAGGTCAAAACGAGAGCATGGAGGGAGCATATGTTGGTGGCGTCTCAAGCCAAGTACATATACTCCCTCTCCAAGGCACATGGTTACTAGTTCCCATCCAGCCGTCAATATCCAAACAGACCACACATGTCAAGAGTTCAATTTAGCCCCTACCTCATGCAAATGAAGTAAAGTATGACAAAAGTGAGTGTCTAGAAGGTTCAGGGAGGAGTGGAACGTTTACCAAGCCGGTATACCCGGGAAGCAGTTCCAGCAGCAATGCACAGCCCAAAACCACAGTTTAATCCACTCCATCAGCCCAAAAACAGTAGCACCACAGTAGCATCTAGTGGGAAAGAGCAGCTGATTCCAAACTCAGCTTCAACAGTCCATGGTAGCAGCATTTCCAGCCCCATACTTCCCAAGGTACACCTGACCAAAATGAAACCACCAAAAACCAAAAGAACCTCAAATTCATCAAGATTCTCTAGTTTCAGCACCCATGTTCGTGCAGCAGTTGAGGACCTCCACAGCTACAACTTATAGTTCAAAAGATACATGGCCAATACAAATAAACCAAAGGTATCAAAAATACAAGGTCCAAAGCAACACCACAGGAATCAGTTGTGCAACCACCAACCGTACATTCAAAGCAACTTTGCTCAATTATAGTTTCAATAACAGCATTAGGGACTCCTCCAAAAACCAACCAGTAACATTGTTTCCCCAAATTCTTCAAATCGCAGGATGAATCAAGTGGAATTGAAATCCATGTTCATACCTTGGATTAGCAAACAATTTCTCTCAGAATCCTAAGAGGATGTCCTTCAACTCTGCTCGAGACAAGAGAAATCTTTGAATTTCAGTTCGTAGATGAACAGTACCACTATTGTCGTTGACCTCCAAATCGCCACATACCAGCTCAAATAATTCCCAAATTGGATTCATATGTACTTGTGCACACATCATACGAACCAAGGGCTCCAAAAATCACGCCAAGAAGAGCTCAATTAATGGAAGAATCGAAGGGAAAAAGGCAATGAGCAGTAATCCGAGTTACTGTCCACTGATCTTACGCCCTATAGAGAGAGAAACTCCGGCTTCCATACAAGAGCTGTGATTTTGAAGAAGATGACGGAAATTATCTCTATGGATATTCTGAAGGGGACGGGATAGACTTGCGAAATTGGGGGCACATATTAGGCGGCCAATGAAAAATCAGTAGGGATTCTAAAATTTGAGATGAACTCGAAAATTTTAAGAAGCAGCAATCTGATTTTTGAAACAAAAAAGTTTTTTGGTCCATAAATTTCCACAAGATACCCATATTTTTTACCGTATAACAGCATACCGGTACTGATAACTAAACTAGTTACTTGCACAGTTCTAATTTGGCTGATCAAATGTTTAAATTCACCAGATCGGATATAATTAGATCGACAAGATACCCATATTATAAGTATAATTTTTATTTTCTTTTTATTTACAAATTTTGCTTTTAAATAAAATTATTTTAAAAAAGATGAAATTCATATGATTCGATTAGATCTGTTTTGGTCTAAATTGATCTAATTAGGTCCGATCTGATGCTTTTAAAGATTAGATTAGGCGAATAGGACACAAACTATATAAAAGTTTAGATTTTCTTTGAAGATTTGATCTAATCTTATTGGTTTTGAATTTGATTTGATCCGATTAGATCTGTTTTTGTCCGATTTGATCTAGTTACGTACAATCCGATGCATTTAGAGATTAGATCAGGGAAATGGGACACAACGTATACAAGTAAATTATGAATGTGAATACCAAGTACAATTATTAGTACTTATAATATCTTATATGGTCAAAAGTATGAGTATTTCGAAGAATTGGATTTGTGCGATTACCTTGTTCTGTTATCAGTACCAGTAAGATATTATACGGCCAAAAATATGAGTATTAAAAGAATCTGATCTATGCAATTATTTGATGTATTTATAGATTAGATCCGGCAAAAAAGACACGACCTATATAATTAAGTTGTTTTTTTGAAGATTTGATCTGATCCTAATAGATTTGAATTTGATTTGATCTGATTAGATCTATTTTGGTCTGATTCAATCTAATTAGATCTGATATTATGCATTTAAGGATTAAATCAGGTAAATATGACACGACCTATACAATTAAATTCATTTTTTTAAATATTTGATCTGATCTTACTAAATTTGAATTTGATTTGATATTTTTGAAGATTTGATCGGATCTTATTGGATTTGACTTTGATTTATTCCGATTAGATCTGTTTTTCTCCGATTTGATCTAATTAGTCCGATTAGTTATATTTAAAACTCTTTTAATTTGATCTAGTCTAATCTGATATGTTGAGATCTGATTTCAATAGATATCATCTAAACAACATATAAACATGTTAAATTGAGATGCAGTGGCTCACATGAAATATGCAATCAATAAAATCTGATTGTATTTGATTTAATTTGATCTTATCTGATTAGATCTAATCTTGACTGATCTAATTGGAATAGATCTAATATGCTTGATCTAATTGTAGTTATATTTAAAACTCTTTTCATTTGATTTGATTTAATCTTATTTGATGAGATATGATTTGATTAGATATCATCTAAACAACATATAAACATGTTAAACTGAGATGCAGTTATCTGATTTGGTATAATCTTATCTGTCTGTGTTTTTTTGAAATACAATAAGTCGGGGGCGACTTTTTTGGTCAAACCATGACACACTTTGAGCTCAAATTAAATATAATTTTAAATAATTATATGTTGTAAAATTTAATATATCAAAACACAATTCAAAATAAAAACATAAGTTTAATAACTTTATATTATAGCTAAATATACTTTTTCCACAAATTATAGTCAAAGTGTTGCACAATTTGACTAAAAAAGTCAAATTGTGACCATCTTTTTGGGATGGAGAAAGTATAAAATTTGATAATACTTTTTTTAAGAATATACTCCCTCCGTCCACAAATAAACTTCCCGTTGCGCGTTACGATGTTTGACTGAAGTTATTTTCAAATCATTTTATATGTAAAATGATGTAAAATTTAAAAATAAAAATTACATATTAAAAAACTATATCAAAAGATCTACAAAACTAGAGGTGACATGACTATATTATTTTATCAAATTGGTGACGAAAATAGACCAACAAAGTGAATAAAGTTTGACTCTGTGAATAGTGAACAGGAAGTTTATTTGTGGACGGAGAGAGTATATAATAAAACTTTTGTTCTGAACGAAATGAACAAATTTCAAAACAATTGGATTCCCCTCAAAAAATTGAACTCCCTTCAAAAAAATATTGTCGAGGATGAAATTTTATTTAAGTGGGAAAAAGTCCGCCCAAAAATTTAAAGTAAAAAAATTAGATTCCCACTAAAAAAGTTGACTCTTTGCCAAGAACCTGTCCAAATAAATTCCTCTATCTCTTTTCTTATCTATTTGTTTTCAACATTCAATTACACCCTCAAATCCTCTTAGAGTGTCAATCTCCTCCCTACTCTCAAGATCCGCCGCCATGGTGACTATGGAGCTCTTGTCCACTACATCTATGGCCATAGAGAAGAAGTCGTAATGAGCTCTCAATGAAAGAGCTCTCAATGGGGGTTTCTCATTTGCGACATGAACAGTACCGCGAGAGCTGTTCTTGCCGATTAATCCGTCAATCCGAGCTTGTTGCTTCAGATTTTTGGAACTCTGGTTTCGCCTACAGCAGGGGATTCCATATAAGAGGTAATTTCGCTGTTTTTGGAGTTTGATTTTAAAGATTCGAAAGTCAACGCATGGTAGATTTTGTTCATTTCCGATCCTCTCTAGTTAATTTGTGTTGGTCCAAGCAATTTTTAAGGCTACATCTCTGAATTTCAGAGTGTTTTGAGCTCCATTTCAAGGTATGAACGTGAATTCCTTATCCAATTGATTTTTCAATTGATTTGAGGATCTGTGGTGATTACGAATTCAATGTTCATCTCGGGACATTGAACATTTTTTTGTATTTCTCCATGCTTGGTCTTTGATTATTTCTATGGAGTTTCGTTTGGTCTGTTGAAGAGTTGTTTGTGTTGACCTTGAAATGGCGTTTGAACAAACTTGTGCGCTTCTACGGTTGTTCTTGCTCTGAACCCTTTTGATTATTTTAAGTGTTGATTAATTCTACGGTTGTTCTTGCTCTAAACCTTGTGTGCTTCTTGGTGTGTACCACTGGGCATGTATGTGTCTGGTTTTTGTTGTCACATTGGTGTTTACTGCTGATGTACACTTGCTTTGTTCCAATTGCTTGCTACCTGATGTTATGCAAGTCTGCAGATTGCATTGGGTTGATGTTGATTTTTTGAATTTTAAGTGCTGAATTTGAATAATATCTGAACTGAATTATTGTTTTATTTTGAACAATCTGCAGGTTTTTCTTTATTTCTAAGCTGAATCTTGTGTTCTTCTTTTAAAGGTAACTAAATATAGCATTAACCAATAACGGTAGCTTTGTTACTACAACCTATTATTGTACAATAGAGACCTTATATTATTAACTCTATGTGGTTTTAATTCCTTGATATTATTTGTCTCGTGTTCATGTTCTTTGTTATTGTTTTTGTTCTGTTAAGGATTGTTCTGGGCTTGGCGTGTACTTCAAGTCCCTAAAGTTCAAGGTACAATTCTTTTAACAAGATTCACACATTAAATACCCGTTTGGTTTGCATTTTTAGGCTTATCTGGCATATTTTCTTTTTACAAAGTTTGAGAAAATAAACTTGTGTGGTTTTGAATTTTTGATAATTATTTGGATGACGGGCATTTACTAGATGTACTAGATGCACTGCATTTAGTAAATATATGAGCTAAATGACATGCACGGCAAAGTTTGAGCTAAATGTACTAGGTAACATAAACTTGTGTACTAGCTTGAGGATGACATGTATGAGATAAGGATTGAATTTGCACGGCATTTCATGATATATACTTGTGGGTTATTAACTTCTTTTTCCTTTCTTTTATACTTGTGGGTTATAGAATATGTCTTTCATCCTATGCGAAAAGTAAAACCCCTCACTTTTTTAAATCATTTTATTCCTATACCAAAATAGTTTTTTCCGGGCAATGCTAACTCCACTTCACTATTTTCATTGAACACGTGAGCAGATTCATCCACATTTATATGAGGAATTAATGGAGGTGAAATAGATGCCGAAACTTGCATATAAATTCCTGGATACCAAATTGAAGAGCCTCTTGTTGCTCGAAGAGCAGGTTGTCGTTTGCTGTGAAAATCAACAATCAAGCTGTCTGTTATGGGGAATTTCACCTCCTGCTCCTTCATTGAACTTGTCCCTTCAATAGCAAGTTCAACCAACTCTTTGGAATGGCTAAAAATTATACGTTCTGTGTGGTTGTCTCCGACAATTAGTTCTTGATTCACAACGATCATTTCAGGAGTTATAAGGTTTCTGCTGGCAGGTGGGAGATTCAAGTTCAATCCACGAAGAATCTCAAGGATTGGGTTCCTCACTTGTTCCTCTATAGGTGCAACAACCTGTATAATAGGAATAGATAGATTGAAGAGGTAGGCATGTAAAATATGTAAATTGTTAGGAAGATGATGTAAATATGAAATTTAGAGTAGTTGTCTCATAAACAATTTAACTACTGTCATAAAAGATAGTTTGAATACTTAAAGGAAAACTACAAAAAACCGTTTTGTTAATAATCAATATGCAACTAAAACAAACAATAGTTTGAATAAGAATAATGTTAGTAGTCCATATTTTAGAAATACAACAAAAGATAACAGTTGTCTTGATGCTATTTTTGTTTAGTAGTCTTCCGAGCAGCAGTCTGATATATCTTTCAATTACTTTTTGAAGTAGATGTCTATATTGTTGAACGACAACACCAAGAATTAGGAGTCTGAAGTTAAAAACAACAGTAGTATTCATTATAGATAGACAACAAAAAATCACAGTTCTCTTTAACTCTAAAGAACAGATGTCTTACTCATACAAGGACAACACTAAAAGGTGGTACTCTAAAACATTACAAAACAAGTGTCGTCAATCATTTTACACTATTGTTTTTAAACAATAGTCTGTAAATATATCAGACACCTGCTCGGAAGACTACTGAAATCAGCACCGAGAGACTACTAAAAGAAACTGTTGTCAGCATCTGTTTTTGACGTAGTGATCATTCTTCCCGGAGGAGTTGACACTGTGGAAGGTTTGTTCACCTTAATCTCGTGGGCTTCTGAAGGGTTACACAATAGACCCATTGGTCTCTTGAACATTGACGGTTATTTCAATAACCTAATCAAATTTCTAGACGATGCAGTGAGGCAGAACTTCATGTCTTTGAGCCAGAGGAAACTTTTCATTTTTTCTTTCTTTGTTGATGAGCTTTTAGACAAATTAGAGTTTGCTAAAGCTTTCCCAGGCCGTGGAGCTAGTTACAACGAGTTTGCAAATCCTGAAAGATTAGACTTAGAATTACATCTGTAACTTTCCTTATGTAATCTAACACTACGTCAAAAACAGATGCTGACAACTGTTTCTTTTAGTTTTCTAACTGTGTTGGTTTCAGTAGTCTTCCGAGCAGCTGTCTGATATATTTACAAACTACTGTTTAAAAACAATTGTGTCGTACGGTTGACAACACCTATTTTGTGATCTTTTAGAGTACATGTTTTTGGAGTTGTCCTCGTATGAGTAAGACATCTGTTCTCTGAAGTTAAAGACAACTGTGATTTTTTGCTGTATATCTATAATATAGACTACTATTGTTTTCGACTTTATACCCCTATTGTTTGGTGCTGTTGATCAAAAATATAGATATCTAATTTCAAAAGTAGTTGAAAGATATATCAGACTGCTGCTCAGAAGACTACTAAACAAAAATAGTATCAGACAACTGTTATCTTGTGTTATATTTCTAAAACATAGACTACTAATTTTGTGGTATGTTAAACAACCGTTTCTTTCAATTGTATAGTGCGCAATAATACTACGCTTTTTTGCAGTTGTCCATGAAATATTCAAACTATATTTTTGAACAGTAATGTAAATGATTATCAGACAGCTGCTCGGAAGACCACTATAAATATTTTCATCACGCAACAGTTATTTTGTGTTGTATGTACAAATTGAGACTACTACTTTGGTCTTATTTTAAACTACTGTTTGTTTTTGTTGTATAACGATTATTAACACTATGATTTTGTTTAGTAGTCCTTGAAATATTCAAGCTTTATGTTTGAGTAATAATCCAATTGGTTATCAGACAACTGCTTGAAAGACCACTAGAAATATTTGCATCAAACAACTGTTGTTTTTTAAGGTATATCTAGGACATAGAAGACTATTTTGTTTCATTTCAAACAACTATATGTTTCAGATGTGTAGTAGTGATTAAAACTACAGGTTTGTGTAGTTGTCAGCATACGATTCAATCTATCGAGTTGAACAGTGGTCGAATTGTTTATCCGAACGCAATTATTTTATGTTGTCTCTCTAAATCATAAGCACCCATTTTTAATAGTAATTAAAGTTTGTTTCAAATAAAAAATATTAATCACGAAACAAAAAAATTATATACTCAAAATATTAATATCATCTAATAACTTAATACTCCCTCCGTCCTAAAATATTCTTCCCACTCACTTTTTACTCGGTCAAACTTTAATCACTTTCTTTACCTATTTTCATTAGGTATTTGATAAAATAATATAGTCTTGTCACCTATTGTTTTGTATAACTTTTGATGTAATTTTTAAATATATAAATTTTATTTTTTAATTTTACACCTACAATCAAATAAATTGAATTGAAAATAAAGTCGGTCAAACCTCGTAAAAAGAACCGGGAAGAACATTATAGGACGGAGGGAGTATTTACTTAAATATTAGTGAAGCAACTTAATGCAGCATACATATTACAAATGTTTTAAAAAAAAGGCAACACATTTTGGATAATGATACATCATCAAAATAAAATTTTTGCAGAGTGCTTATCATAAGCAGAGTATGTGGAGGAGTGAGTATCATAGGCAGAGTGACTTCTTGTACCTTATTTGGCCTCTCAAACTTGCAAGATTAAGACAATTCCCTGCTCACCAATACCAAAAGACCCCCATTTCAAGAAAACAAAAACAGGATAAACCAACACAAGTTAGGCAAATAAAGTAAATTTAAAACAAACACAATAGAATGAAAGAATGAATAAATTACAACACACACAAAGTAAACACTAAAAAAGGTAGCCTACTAAACCTAGCTTCTCAATAGAATACAAGTCACCAAGCAATCCAATTACCCTACAACTTTAAGTTTCCATTTCTCAATATTTGAGTTTCAAACTCAGAAAAAAGAATAAATTAAATGCACCTCTAGTTTGTTTTGAATTCGATAAAACAGATTAAGTTGCATATATCCAAGTGGATTATGATGCCTTTTGTGGGGAGTTGATGGATTAAACTCAACAGTCATACAGAACTACAAAAACAGCTTTCATAATCACGATTGTACTAATTTTCAATGTAGGAAAGTAAGAGGATACACAGACATGAAAATTTCTCCTGATTTTGGTTCTCATAGAAGATGACAAAACAAAAGTAGCGACCCAATTTCAATATATAACTAACCCATGTGCCACAATAATAGAGTTATAACAAACCAAGTTTTATATTAAAAAAATAAAAAACCCACAAATTTTCACGTTCAGAGTGTCTTGAAAATCCAAAACAAGAACAGGACGGAGGAATGCATTCAGAGTCAAAAAGCAATAATCACCATATAAATACGAACGTAATGAAAATTAAGATTACCGTAGAAACTGGGGAGGAGGAGGAGGAGTTTGTGGAACGAAGTAAAAAGTGAAGCAACGGGGATGGGTTGATTGATGAAGCAAGTCGCTGCAAGAGAGAACGTCATCAATGAATTGAATTCTATGGTTGGTATAAAGAAACCTCAACCAGAAGTCCCATTCACTAAAAATCCAAACCAATTGTGACCGTAGCATATTTCTCAACACCCAACGCAGATGAACAGTACCATGTGTAGAACAAATTAAAGGGGTCCAAATTCAGTTATGTGATTCAAAGAATCAACAATGGAATCTGGTTACCTCCAAAGAAACACCAAAAAGGACACAATCAATCCGAGATAGAAATCCCACCCCCCCACATGTTATATTACTGAAGAACGATCTGGCTAGTAAGACGATATGTAGATTGGGTAGCTAGAGTGTATTAAAAAGAATTTCCATGTGAATGTTGAACATTCAACCATGGTTAAATACTCCGTATCAATTACGTTTGGTAGTCATAACAATGGAATTATAATGGAAAACTTACATTTACAAGCATAGAGATGAATGGATACATTTACAACCTCTGAGCTGGTTTAAGAAACTTTCCCTGCAAAACAAAACTTGAGAATTTAGTAGGTAAAAAAAATGGAAAAAATATGAATTGTTCTCAATTTTTCCTCTATCGCTAATTTAAGAAGCGGATCTAAAGGTTCCTTCAGAGAAATTCAGAGTACATAGAATTTCACAGAGATAACACCACTTCAACTTCAATCTTGTTCCAAATTTTGAAAAAAATAGAAAGAGAAACAAAAAACGAATCAAGACAATTTGCAGGGACATAGCGAAAAACCCTAGCTCTAAACCAGAAATCCATCCAAAACGCGCATATAACAGATGATTAAACATGTGCGGATGGATTGTCAGATATTATTAGGGTATGGACCTCGAGAATCAAGGCGAGAGAGACGCAGGTATTGAAGTGGCGAGAAGAATGGAGCTTTGATTTTAAATCGTCGACTATGGATTCCAACGGCTGGTGTGGATCGTCTCCGGCTTTGAGCAGGGTCAAAAGTGTGTCGGATTCTTCATTCCCGAGCATGTTTGCTCTCAGAGAACTTCGCGTTTGACGGATATCGCTAAAGGACTCGATGCTTGTCAATTGGTCGCTGAATGAACAGTAACCACGAAGCTTTGACTTTCAATACTCCAAGATCCAGCTATAAAACATCAAAAGTGATTTCGAATTGGGATTCCCCTGCTTGAGATGCATCCAAATATCCAAAAATTCCAAGAAAAGAATCATGGATTCAAAGATGGAAGCAAAAAAAAGTGGAGCTGCACCCGCTTTCCAGCAACCCTAGAGAGAGAAGGGAAGGGGTGAAATTGGAGGCAGGAGGAGGGTTACATAATTTTTGCCAAATTTTCACTCAAAAAATCTATTCCCCCCAATTTTACATATATTATCCAAAGTGAAATTAGAGGCGGGAGGAGGGATAAAAATCTTTTGGCCAAATTTTCAAAAAAAACTAGGTTCCTCAATTTTTGTTTAAATTCTTAGGTATCATTTTAAAAAAAAGTATTTTTTAAAAACTGATCTAGTTTGATTTTTTTTCTATACTTTTTTTCATTTCAAAATTATAAATTAATTTTTTTTTAATTTTAAAAAATGATAGATTTCATGTTACTACGGTCAGTTTAGACTTTCAATTTCATGACTATATTTAGGTCAGTTTCAACCTAAATATAGTCATAGCATGTTATTTAGGTTGAAACTAAATATTTAGGTTGAAACTGACCAATGAGTATTTAGGTCAATTTCATGTTATTACGGTCAGTTTCAACCTAAATAACATTTCAACCCATGGGTCAGTTTCAACCTAAATATAGTCATGAAACATGGGTTTCAACCCATCGACCCCCGTTTACTTATCTGCGTAGCGGCAACACAATATAGATTCAAGGCATATTAACCTTTCAATTCATTTCAACAAAAAATTATGTATTCCCTCAATTTGAGGTTAAATTATTAGATTTCATTTCAAACAAATTACTCAAAAGATTTAACATTAATTAATTTTTTTAAAAATATACGTTTTAATATATTCTCGTCTCAATTATAATTTTTTAAAATTCATTTTTTATACTCTTCATCTCAATTTCTTTTAAAAGACATCATCGTTCATACTCTATGACTTATTGTATTTCAAAAAAACGCATACAGATAATATTATACCAAATCAGATCACTGCATCTTAGTTTAACATGTTTAATTTATATGTTGTTTAGATGATATCTAATGATATCATATTAAACTATATCAAATTAGAAAGAGTTTTTAAATATAATTATCATTAGATCTAGCAGATTATATCTAATCAGATAAGATAAAATAAGATGACTTGAGACCCAGTTAGTCATTCAAAAAAATATCAAGAAATATCAGTGAACAACCACGACCGGATGACTTAGGATTAGGTGAGTCATTTAAAAAAATACAGATGACATGTAGTGATGAGTCAATTAAACACATACTAGTGAACCACATATATATATGTTCATATTACGATCTGGCAAGTCATTTAGACAGATATTGCTGAACAACTATGACCAAATGACTTGGGATTCACTGATCGGAACCAATTCCCTGGATTGAATGATCTAAAACCAAAATCGGAATCAATTTTTATCTAATTGCATTCAATTACATTCAATTGAAACATAACACATTGAAATTTATCTTTTATTTTTGAATATATATAAATAAAGATAATAAATGTTATAAAAACATTCTATACCAAAATTATATGTTAAAATCATATCAATTCTTTGTTATATTTATGAAGATGAAATATATCTAAATCGAAATCTATCAAAACCCGGAATCTATCTGAACTGATTGATATCCGAACCATATTTGAACCGACTCAGAATTGAACCGAAACTAAACTCATATGATTCAAATTGAACCAATTATAATATATATCCAAAAGATTTTTGAATTGAAAAAATCTAAACCATAACCGAACCATCTAAGAAGTGAATACACTTAAAAAAAGTTTTAAAAAAACTTGAGCAAATAAATGGAAAACCTATATATAAATGAAAAACATAGTTTTGATATATTAATTTTCTAATATTTTTAAATAATATTTAATTATTTAAAAATATATTTAATTTTTTGTATATACAAATTTTTAAATAAAATCATTCTAAAAGGGTAAGGTGCACATTGTCAAAACAAGAAAAAAAGAAGAGAAAGGGAATCACTCTAAAAAAAATGCACTGAAACTTTTTGAATTCCCTCTCAAAATTTCGCACCCCCTTCCCCAAAATTTTGGCTCAGATATACGAAATGCATACCTAATTCAGAGTTCCCTCAGATCCAACTACGTACACTTCTATCAATTACATCTCACAGCCGCTTCACCATCGGAATCCATATCAACTTCATCTTCAAACTTCGCAGGAGCAACTCCATCTGGTTTTTGTCCAAATTGAAGCCCAATTTTGAGGTACTAGGAGCGACATGTTTAGCCAAATCAGATCCTATAGTTTGTTGATGACTGCAAACAAAGAAGCTCGAATTTTTTCTAATTTTGGATTTCCGAGTACTTTTCACATTTCTAGGCTTCCAACGCAGGTTCTTACTGCTTAATCCCTCTTTTTGGACCAAGGTTTATGTTGAGGTAGATCTTTCCAAGGAATTTTCCAATTCATATGACTAAATTGAGTTTGTACAGGCGTGTGTCTGTTTTTGTTGTGAATTCGTGTTCATTTTTGTTCTTCTTGTTCAATCCTGTTTGTTGAATATGTAGGCTCTGAATTCATAAAATAACTACCTAGGGTAATTTATTCATCAAATAGATTGAATCTTTGGTTCAAGAAATATTTGGTTGAGTAACTTGGCTTGGTGACTGGGTTGTTTCTTCTCAAAAGGCCGAATATATCCAGTTGATGTTTAGCACTACCAGTTGGTTTTTTCAACTTTAATCTTCTCTATACTTCTCATTTTCTATTTGCTATCATTTATTTTTTTTAACCAAATGAGTCTTTAATCTTCTTAATAATTCTCGGTTTGATCTTTGTTATAGTTAACTAGTACTATGTTTATATTTCAACATTTAAACTTGGTTTTTTAAGGCTTCAACACGTGTGATGTTGCCTCACTCTACTCAGTCACTTACTTTGCCCTTTGGAGATTATGGAAATGGGACTTGAAGATTGTTGTTGGTCTATGAGGGAGGCTTCTTAACCCAAAGTGTGATTAAGAGGAATTTCTTTAATTGCTGTACGTCTCTATAGATAAACATGTGAAATGAATGATATTTGCACCATACTATATTACTACTGCAAAAAAGTGCTTGGCTCCTTATTGCAAGTGGTATTGTGTTTAATTGCAAAAATGTGCTTTAGCTTCTAAAAATCTTCTCTTTTTTGTTATTATGTTGGAAAGATACTTGAGCCAATAATTTTCTTTGAATATGGATGTAGCCTGAGCATTTTTATGCAAGTTCCTAGTTAGGTTATTTCAAAAATAGGTCACACTATTTTGCAGATAAACAAAACTTAGGGTTGTATGGCATTTAGGTGATTTCCTTTAATTTACCAATTTTAGAGATAACCTGAAAGGGGTGGAGGAAGGGACCTCTCCCTTTCCAGGTTCCGTTCAGAAAGGGGCATTTAGTGAAAAACTATTAAATCTCTAACAACATGGAGTGGTGTATAATGGCCAACAGGTTATTTTTAGATTCATTTCATTTGAGGTGGGGGCACAGGGGGGGGGGGCAGGGAAGGAGGTGCTATTAAATTGTCAAACAAATTTATTTTTTGTAGGGTGATCCATCAAGAAGTAAATATGTTTTGTTCTGTTTAGGCTCTTTGGTCAGTTCAAAGAAGCACATCAAGCTTACAAAGGATGGCAGGGGTTTGCTGCCATTATAAGAAAGAGAATATCATTTCCAACTAAGACTAAATAATTATGCAAATAACTGCATTACTTCATCTATACTTAGAAAGGATCATTCTCATATCTATAGTGCTGATCATAAGAGGGTTGTTGTTCATCTATCTTATCTTGAAAAACGAGATAATAAGGCAACTCCCAAATTTGTCTACTACATTATTATCATGTGGAACAAATTTGTTTCTGTTTTTCTGTGCTTTCTAGTGCTCTGGTTGCTTTATACACTATTTAATTTGAAGAATGGGTGCAATACGTGCTATGGTTGCTCCGATCATTCTATACACTATTTAATTTGCTTTATATGTTGTTTTTGTTGCTCTGGTCATTTACTCATTTCTTTCTTTTATTAATTTTATTTTTTTTCATTTACAGATCAAGGCTCAATATGAGAAATACCGTTCATTTTCCTCTTTGGTTGGTTATTAAAATCAAAATAGAAGTGACAAGATGAAATGAAGAGATGGAGCTTAGATGAATACTCGAGAATTTAGGATACTTTCATCATAAAAACATGTTTAGTACTCCCTCCGTCCCGTTTTAAATCACCCGTTTTGACTTTTGGTTATATTTAAGGAAAATTAAAAATAGAGTTGATTTTTTGAAATTGTCAAATACTTTTTATGAGGGATGATGATGAATGAGAATATAATGTGGAGAAGATTGACTTATTTTAGAGGTAGTTTAGGTATTTTATTTTTAAAAGTTTACGAAAACAACTAACAGACAACTTATTTTGGGACGGAAAAAAAGGCAAACAGGCAATTTAAAATGGGACGGAGGTAGTAATATATTTATTTTATTTCAAAACCCTAAAGTATTAACAATTGTGAAGCTTTGATTGTTTGGAATTGTATTATGAGTAGTATATATTTTGTCTTTAATCTTAACATATGACTACTTATATTAGTTATTATTGTTTTTTACATCACATTGTATATATCATTGAATGTAAAATGTATTTATAATACAAATAATTATAGTATTTATAATAATAATAATTTTAATTTTAATATTAAAAAGGGTTTCTAGAAAATTTAACTTGCGGCAATTTAATTCTCACTATTTATTGGGTTTGCATAACTGTAGCAACTAAAATTTGCTACTAGACCTAAAGTTTTGTGGCATCATAAATTTGCCACTAAATATAATTTTTGTAGCAAATAATAAATTGTGGCAAATATAATATGCCACTAGACATGAGCTTTTGTGGCAAAGTTGTATTAGTGGCAAATCACAATTTCCCACAAAAATTATGATTTTTGTGGCAAATTAAAATTTTTCACAAATACCTTTTGTAACGGGGTATCTGTGGCAACCTTGTTGCAAATTCCAAAATTGCTACAAATAGTTATTGTGGCTAATTTTTTATGTTTTGTGGCAAAATTTGGTGCCACAAAATGTCAAGTTTTTTGTAGTGACAATTGGTATTAGATTACTATTTCTGGAGACTTTAAAAATAGCTGTACGCTTAATACGCAAAATTCTCTTAAAAACAATTTTCTTTACTTATTATAGATAATCGTGAAAACAAATTGGTGTGACACACTACTAGTAAATACATTACGGTTTCTCAAAACTTTGAAAATAGTTCTAAGCTTAATAGTCTAACTGCTATTTAAAAAGGGTATTATTAAGTTATTATAGACAACTTGTAATAGATTACAGTTTCTATGAATTTTAAAAACAGTTCTACGCTATATAAATATACTACTGTTACAAGGAAGTCTTCTATTCTTATAATAAACAACTATGCAAAAAAAACATATGAAACATACAACTAACAATAGATTACTATTTTTTATAAGTTTAAAAACAGTTATAAACTGAAAACCAGACTATTGTTTAGAAATAGTAGTCTTAACTAATTATTGACAATTGTGGCAACAAAAACTGTATTTTTAGATGAAACACACTACTAATAATAGATTACTCTTTCTCACAACTTTAAAAATAGTTCTACCCTTAATTCATAGACTACTGTTACAACAGAGTCTTCTATTCCTATTGTAAACAACCGTGGCAAAAAACAATATGAAACAGACAACAAGCAATAGATAACTGTTTCTAATAAGTTTAAAAACAATTCTAGACTAAAAAACCAAACTACTGTTAAATAGAGTATTCTTAACTTTTTATTGACAACAGTTGTAACAAAAACTGTATTTTGAACTAACACAAAAAACTAATGATAGATTACCGTTTCTTGAAACTTTAAAAATAGTTTTAAAGCATCATAACTGTTGGAACACACTTTGTACGATAAACTAAAGTCGTGTTCATTTCTGACAGGTTTTGATAATTGTCAAACCGTCATGGATATAAAGAGTTTCGTTGAATAACTCAAGGCGTGAAGAATGGCTTGGAACAAGACCTAAAAGACTCAAGGACAAGATCAAGAATTGAAGACTTAGTCGAGTCGGTCTTTTGTGATCAAAACCGACAATAAATTCAAGTCTCGGTTCTCAAAAAGTCAAACCAATTTTTACAAATCATAAAATATTTTTTATGCATCAAAACAAACATTTTTGATGATTTCTTTTATTGTTAAAATCCCTGGTCCTTGCTCGGAACCGAAACCACCTAAGTCGGCGTTCGGCTTTCGGTTTTTGGCGCCCGAACCAACTCCGTGGTTTTCAATATTTTAAACCCTGTTTTTACTTCTGAGCATTTTTAAAATGTTCCCAAATAATTATTTTAACCACTTTTGTATCTTGGTCAATCGGTCTAACACGTGAAAAACGGTCAAAACCGTACGCACGTATTTTACGACCTTGGAGACTTAGTTTTTACCAAACAAGTCTTGTTTTCACTATTTTATACCAGATACAATATTTTTCAAATCTGGTTTTTACTTTTGGGAACACTTCGTTTTTGGACCTCGGTTTTTCAAAACGGGTTTCAGCTGGCTAGACTTTAGCTGGGTGATAATCGATTATCACCTTAGTGACAATCGACTATCAGCCCCTGCAGCTTTGAACTTCCAAAGTTCTGAAGCACGCAATAATCGATTATCACTTATGCAATTGTAACGCCCCGAAATCTGGTCCAAAAGAATTTAATTAAATTGTTAGAGCAATTGATTACGAATTGGGCCCAAAAAGGGGCTAAAATTATAATTTGGATTTTAAGCCCAACTTTTATGTCATCTCGTAGGAAATATTTTTGTGATCGCGTCGGTTCTGACGGCTCGCGAATCGGAGTTACAGAGCTCATGTTATGACCATTTAATCAGGTATTTTGGGTCCGAAGCCCAATCCTTTTTGGAATGGGACCATTAAATAAACCTAAACCACACGATTACCTTATCTTCTTCGTCGTTCGTCCTTCTTCTTCTTCTTTCTTCTTTCTTCTTCTTCGATTTCTTCTTCTTCTTCTTCGCCGATCGTCGCCGCCGTGAGCAAGCCGCCGATCGACCTCCGCCTCCTCGCCACACCACTGCTGTCTTTCCTCGCCGATGCCCCGTCGCTCACCGCCAGGTGAAACGCCACCACGCCAAACGGAGGACGTCGCCAAACGCCGGACGCCGCTGTTTCGCCCTCGCCGGAATCGAGAGCCGCCGTCGCCCGAGCTTCCAGCCGGTCGCCGAGCTTCCAGCCGCCGTCGCCCTTTGCACAGCGGCCACCCGCCGCCGTCGAATGCAGCGCCGCCAGTCGCTGCTCATCGCCGTCGAACTGCCGCTCCGCCACTGTCGCCGGCGTCCGTCACCGTCGCCGCATCCGGCCGCTGCCCCGAGTTGATATCGCCGGCAGATNCAAACGGAGGACGTCGCCAAACGCCGGACGCCGCTGTTTCGCCCTCGCCGGAATCGAGAGCCGCCGTCGCCCGAGCTTCCAGCCGGTCGCCGAGCTTCCAGCCGCCGTCGCCCTTTGCACAGCGGCCACCCGCCGCCGTCGAATGCAGCGCCGCCAGTCGCTGCTCATCGCCGTCGAACTGCCGCTCCGCCACTGTCGCCGGCGTCCGTCACCGTCGCCGCATCCGGCCGCTGCCCCGAGTTGATATCGCCGGCAGATTAACCTCCACGCCGGATTGATTGGTCAATTTCGTGTTTTGACTCGATTTGACCCGTTCGGTTGATTTCGTTGATTTGTCTTCCGTTCGAGCTATCGATTCGATTTCGACGTAATCCAGGTCCGTACTATGAAGTTAATAGCATTCAGAATAGATTTAATGGTTTGGATCGTTATATGCGTTTATGCTATAATTTGGCTAAATTGGTTAATTGAATTAAATTGATTGTTTGAATTGAATTGTTGAGGATTGTGAATTGACTGAACATGTTTGACTTTGACTGGATATTCTGTTGTCGTAGGTTTGACCGAATGGTTAAATCCAAAACTTTAATGAATTAGTTAAGTTAGTTAATTAATTCTAATCGGTGATTAAGGTCAATTGGTTTATTGTGTTGAACATAGAAACTGGCCATCGCTCGGGCGGCTGCAGGGCCTAGTCAGTGAGGTTAAGACGTGCGCACGAGGGTTTGCGATCTTGGGTTAAGATGTACGATGGCGTGGCTGTCTCTTTAATCTGTTGATATGCTTTATTTAATTAACTTTAATGCTTATTACGTTTTCGGGCAAGATCCCAAGTTGTTTGACTTTAAAAAGGCTTCCGCATTATTTTAAATTACTCCGATGGATTTTTATATGTATTGATAAAACGTTTGTTTAAAATTGTTTTGAAAATGTCGCAAATTCGGATACCAATTCAGTGGCACACCGGTCCGCTTTCTCATGGGTTTGGGTCATGCGGGCTGGGGTGTTACAGCAATAATCGATTATCAGTCTTTGCAGCCAAAACCTAGAATCTTCTGAGAGGACCAATAATCGATTATCACTTGTTGACAATCGATTATCTGGGTTACCGTTGTCCTCCAACGGATAGAATTTTAAATTTTTGGACAAGGAATCTTTTGATAATCGATTATCAAGCTTGGATAATTGACTATCAGCCTCTGTCCTTGAAAAATTTGTCTTCATCCTGTTGGAAACTCTAGCAACGGGTTTATCCCATTTTAGGCTATAAAATGGCACCCAAATCCTCTCATTTTACACACAATTCTTCAACATTTCAATACTCTCTCATTGCATAAGCATTCCTATTTTTCTTAGCTATTTGAGAGCCAATTCTTGAAGAAATTGTCGTGTTCTTGAGCGTTTACTAGTTCACTCATATCTACTCTTTGTGAGAGTTTTATTCCTGAGTGTTTAAGTGTTTTCATACACTTTAAGGGAGGTTGTTCCCTTGTTGTAAACTCGAAGGAAGTTCCTTGTTCCTTCGTGAGAAGTCTTGGAGTGCGGTATCTCCGAGCAAAGGTGTTGAGGCTCGTGTGACTCGGGTTCTCAAGTTGTATCGGTTTGTTAAGCACCCTTAAGCTTAACGGAGTTAGTGTAGCTCGAGAGAGTCTCT